TAAGGTTGACGGGAACTCGGGGACTGCGCCTACCTGATGGAGCTCCAAGAGGGCGAAACCGGTCGTGGGCTGTCGAAGTCCTCGGACTTCATTCGAACTGACTACCTCTCGCTTACCGGATGAGTGCCGTACCGGACATCGACCGTGCATCCATTAAACTATGGCAAATCGGTGGGAAACTGGTACGTGTGTGCGATTCGGGACAGCTTCCGTTGTAGCACAACTGGTACAGCACTCGACCAATAGGCGAATGTTTGTGGGTTCAACTTCCAGGTTCCTCCTGCACCCACTCTTTTCTCTTCTTTTCACTCTAAGGCTTTAAATACAATTAGATAAAGATTGCGAATGTACGGCAGTGAAGCATCAGTGCCGTCATTCGTCGTTAAAGGAAGCTTCTTCCTGACCGGTCACAGATGGTTGACAAACTTCCGTATCCCCAACGCTGGCAAGCCTCTCCGAGAACGACAACATTTGCCCCATTAGAACTTGTCACTGTCGGGACCTTTTAGGGATGTATCTGAAAAATCGCTTATTTTATATCCGTTCATCATGCTTGCTATTGAACAAGGGCGACAGTAGTGGTGGCAACTGCAGCTTCGCTATGTAAGCCGCTTGTGGGAACTGGTGTTTAAATCTTGCTTAAAGACGTCACAAGTCGAATGGAAGCATGACAGTGACTTGGACCCGCAACTTGGGTTTACAGTATTTTTGAATCCAAAATGCATATTAGCGTCCTTCATGAGTGTTTTCGTAAGACCGGGAGTACTGTATTTGTGACCTTTGATCGATTTTCTACCACCATACAGTGCATTGATCAAACCACGAGAACGTGTTTTGAAATTATGGTATGAAAATCGCATGCACTATTCCGTTTTTTGTTCAAATTCTGGTGACTTTCAACTCCATCAACTGGGCTGGGAGGATCATTCATTTTCATCTCTCGAGGGCTGATAATGAAAACTCGAATGTGCTGTATTCACTTGTTTTTTTCAGATGTCGGAATCTCGTAGCTTACAGAGGTCACGTTAGCTGACAAATCGATAGGTCGTTGGCTTTGAGTGTGGGGTAGCAAAAGCATACTTGCTCTAGCTTCGCGATCTCTTCTTGCGGCGGCGCTAAAAATTAGCAACGCGTGTTTGAGGTAAAAAAAATAGTCCAAAGCCAGAGTAGACAAAATTTGCATCACAGCAAACGAAATAAACAAAAGTTTCTAGGCGTCTGTATGAGCTTTTTTTGAAAGTGTTACTACCGACAATAAGAATCTTTCTATAAAGGAAACTACCCACAAGGTTGCTGAAAACTCTTCAACAGCCCACGACCAGTTTCTCCCTTCTTGGGGCTCATCAGGTAGGCGCAGTCCCCGAGTCTCCGTCAACCTCATATTCTACTCGAGCCCAAATTGGACTGTTTTCGAGAAATACACTCCTTTACAAATCAATTTGGTTCTCACAAGAGACTCAACTGAATCTCTCGTTTATGATATTCTACGACTGAATGTGCTGCACACGGTCGTGGGCTGTCGAAGGGTTTTCAGCAACCTTGTGAGTAGTTTCCTTTATGAAAATATACTGCGGTATCCCGATTATCGTGCCAACTGAATCATAACACGGCCTGTGTGCAGCACATTTAGTTGTAGAATATCATAAGTGAGAGATTCAGTTGAGGCTCTCGTGAAAACCAAATTTATTTGCAAATGAGTTTATTTCTAGAGGAATCTTTCTAATTTTTAGTTACACGTCAATCTTATTCGTTGTTTCTATAGCTCATGGCGGACTACAGCTTGTTGGGCCTTCCGAATGCTGGTAAATCAAGTCTGTTGCGTGCTGTTTCGAATGCGAATGTAAAAATTGCCAGCTACCCATTCACCACAGTTCAGCCACAAGTTGCTTATTGCAAGTATGAGGACGGTCGCTCGATCAGTCTGGCTGATCTACCTGGTAAGTCTTCAGGAAATTTCATCCAATTGAAGGACTTTTTCCTACCTGGCTGGCCAGATTGAAATATGTTCTCCCCATAGTTCTCGACTGTTGATCATTCGCACTGTTCGGTCGGATCAGTGTATGTTTCTCCTGGATTATTTTCTGGGATTCTTGTTTGCTGCTGGTCAGTGTATCGGTATGCCTGTGCATTTCTCACTGAGCGAATCTTACCGGGTTAGTTGTTGTCAATGAGCCAACCGGTTTATGGGAACCTTTCAGATTTCACCGGAATTCTCTTGGTATGGGAAAGTTCATGCTATCTGTGTCTGAGGAAATCTAGGTAACAGCTGTCACCGAGCGATTAGATCTGTTCACCTAGTGATGAATATCAATCTTTGTTCTACCTGCTTGAATGCGATTCATTTTTAGCTTCACCTGCATTTCATGCACTTTTAGCCGTTGTATGGAAACACTGCCGCCACTTTCAGGTGGACCATGGACAGGTAGTTCCTCCCCCCCTGAACAGACTAGTAGATTCACCATTCGGAGGTTAGTATTCACCCATAGCCTCGTTCGCAGTCGAAAATGTACTTATACGCATAACATATCCGTTTACGAAGGGAATTCCTTTCACTCTCGGATTTGTAACATCTGATTCGTAATGCTGAGGTACCCAAGTGGTCCTGGAAGGAAGGAACTCTCTCGCGATACATAAATTACTCACGCTTCATGAGTTACACTCGCCAGAATATGTATTTCGAATTCCAGAGGACTGTCTGCCTCTCAGAGCTCTTTTCGCTCAGCTCTGTGCTGAGTGGAACCGATCAAGAGGTGGAAATTGTTTGACCTGGCAACGAAATATAATGACACCGACCGGGAAACGGAGTTGGGTTGACAACTGCCGCCTCATTGGATGGGGACCCCGGAACTCAACTCACCTACGGTTAATTACACTGGCCGAAATGACCACATCGTGCAGTCATTGAAAGCTATCACCTTCAATGCGTACACACCCAGTTCCAGAACTAACTGAACTTTTTATCGCCTCTAATGCTTGACTGTATGTTCCACACTCCCACTTTCCGGCGATGGACACTGCAGCGACTTGTTGCATTCCATGAACGTCAGCTCTTGCTATGGAATACCCTAGTTACCCATCCATTCAGAAAAGTCTGGTACGAACTGTTGTGCCAAAAATACGACTGATCAGATCAGCTTTAATGCATGAGCATACAACCCAGTTTGACTGGTGCTGCAGGCCATATCTCCAAAACTGGTGGACAAGATCGCAACATGTATTGATTCAAGAGGGGACAGTTGTTTTACGTCGAAAATCCTTTTCGAATAGTAGGTTGACCTCACTGCTGCCTTGTTTTTTGTGAGTGTCGCGTTGTCGCCCATAAATGTGGACTACCATAGTTAGGGGGTCATTCCAGAGCACCGTAATCCTATTCGGTATTACGCACCCATATCATTCATCTCTCGGTATTCGCACAACCGACTGGACACTCCCTCGGGTCATCTTGGATTCATATATGGACATCTTTAGGTTGCTTTCTAGGATATGTTTAGTTCCTCGTACAAGAATCCGAATAGAATCACTGTGTAGTAGCCAACTCACCAAGCCCTTCATGTTTGGCAGCAATACGGGTGTCGAACCTCTGATGCTTCACGACCGTAAGATACTAACGGTTTCAGAGAGGTTTGATAAACAATCGGTGGATTTATCAAACCTTTCTGAAATGATGACTTCCCAATCGATCCCAAACATTTCCCAATTGATTAATACCAATAGTTTGTTTCAATGTTTGTAGGATTGTCCACTCAGCGTCATCATTAAAATACCAATAGTTTGTTTCAATGTAGGATTGTCCACTCAGCGTCATCATTATCGACAGCATGACATCAGTTTTTATTGCAAGTGTTCCATCACCAATCGAGTTGATATCATCAGTATGTCGTTAGGGAACTGGATGAAGCGTACCGCTATGTCACTAGTTTTAAGTTGAATAGTGGTAGGTGGGTGTTAATAAGCTTACTGCTAGTTTTCACTGACCTTCAATGATGTTTGGTTTTTAGGTCGAGAGGTTCTGTTGGTTAGTCTGTCATCCTGCGTTCTGATTCGTCAGGATGCAAGATCTTTGGGCTTGGTCTCACCTGCTGTTGTCCACTGGCTGGTGCTCTGTCCTTGACCCCTCTGGATTCCACGCTGTTGCGTTTATTGACATGACTCCAAAGGGTCCCTATTTCTTGTTTTTTACTCGGATAATAGGCCATCCTTCAATATTCCGGCCCGGTGTTCAACGTATCGTGTTTTCCCATGTTGGGATTTTGACGTCCTCCAGACTTAAGTTCTTCTCATTAGCAAAAGTTTATTTCGAGCCCTAACAGTAGTCGTGTCGGCCTGTCAACAGCCAAGCTTTCGCTCAAGCAATCTGGATAGAAACTGGCCGCAAAAACGCGATTGGCGTTCTTGTGGGCTATGGTGAGGATCACACAAAACCTCTTCTGGGGGATAAACAGCACTAGACCGTTTCCTGCTTCCTTTACTTCTCTTCTAACACGTCAAACTTTGCGGACCTTTTGGTTTGCACCACTCTGACGTTGGCATGAAAAAATACTGCTCTCGGTTACCTCGGCATGGCACGTGGCCAAGCCACCACACATACGATGTCTCGTATTCCATCTGAGAATCCACAACCCCAATGTTCTTTTTGATGCCACAATTGGTGCGAAATTGCGGACGTCCTCACGCTGGAGCGGCTGCCAATGATAATGATGATGCCTCACTGTCGAGTTCTTTCCGGCTGCATGCTGTGGAGGTGTTGGTATGTACTAGGAGTCAGGGCTTGAGAAATGATTTAGAAGTGCCTATGGTCTTGCCGGCCAAACGGGGCTTAACTACTGTAGCTATCGACAGTGCGAGCTGTCAGTCTTCAGGTATGTGTATCAATAGGTCACTATCAGCTTGGTGGGGAAGACTAACAGGTATATGAAAAAAAACAGAACTGTCAGCAGGAGTCTTACCCACACCACTATATGCAACAACTGAGGTGACCCGACCAGCGTTACTTGAGAATGTGCATTCTTGTGGAATTCGTGGTCGCACGTGGGCTGCCAGGGCACTCGAACCCGAAAGGTATACTGAGTAGCACTCCGACAATACTATTCCGTTCTCACGAAATTCGTTTACTATTCACTCAAAGGTCGACAAGCGCAGGCACCTGCTTCATATTTTTCTAAGGATGACCGAAATAATCGAGCAACGTTATGTAGATAGGTGGTCTGCGCTATGTCACCGTGACCTTCAGCAAACCTGGACACAACGAATCAGTTCCGTAGATCACCATCAGTCGGCCGGTACAGAGCAGAGCATGATAATAGGTGCGCTGATTGACGGACCGCTCCAACCTAAGGAGGTCTAACCGACTCTTGCCGTCTTCTACCCCCACTACCACCATTTTGTTTGTGGAACAGATTCGTGACCACATGTCATGTCATCGCCTGTTTCTGTGCTTGATCGGGCGCTTCTGGATGATAGCAGATTCGATTGCTGGTAACCCTACATTGCAGTGGACGTTGGTACTCTGGTTATCGCCCATCAGACACGGAATTCTTCCATTCGCAATCTGACGTAATACTGACTGATTGGTTACGTGAAACCAGGTTCCTGCGTTGACTCTGGTGTATCAGGCTTCCAGCAACGCAACTCTGATTGTCGTCCATATATGATTTCCAGTCCTATTCCCTCCATAAGTTTTCATCAAGCCAGTAACTAGTCCTTCTTGTCGGGTCAGCTCTCTGGGTAGTTTGTTCCGACTGTGCACAGGCAGCTCTAGTGCGAAATTCTCCTGTCACCTGCTGACTTACATCATCATACCTACAGACTACAGCTGAGGAGTAAAGTTCTACTTTCATTCCCGCCATATTTGCTTTGCTTTCCCCTTATGTTGACGGTACCGAAATTTCGGCTACTCAGTTGTGTTTATCGACAAACAACTGGTCAGCAAATATACACCCTGTCACGTTTATATTCAGCGTCCTCTCGGCGGATATCGTTGTCATATGAACTCAAGAATTATGTGTTGAACATGATGCTTGGACATTGTTCCCAATAATTTGAGCGTAGTCCCGATCTAAGGTTGTCTGTTGACAGTTTCCTCGAGATTTATAACTAGCTTTGACACGTTAAGCTGACAGTTGATGCCCTCTACTCGTCTTCTCTCGCCTGTATGTTCACAGGACTTGCTGATATATATGCACAATACTCCGGGAAGCCCTCCAACACCACCCCATCAGATCACGATCTCCCCGCTCTGAGACACACTAATTTCCTGAAGCATGTGGAACGTAGCTCGTGCTTGATTCTTGTCCTGGACTCCATGGGATTTCAGCGCGATCAACGAAGTCCTTGGCGCAGTCCTTTGGCTTGTGCCTATCTGGTCATACACCTGCTTGAGCGTTGGTCTCATGGTCTACTTCTCGACAAACCTTTCATGTGTGTCATCAACAAGGTAAGACACCGGGTTAAACTAATTAGGTCGCAAACGATCCAACCATACTCCTGAGAATAATTGTTTGTTCAGTCGTAAGTAACTGAAACTTGTTTTCTGTTACTCTACCATATTTACGCTATTGTCTTGTGATAGGTGAAAAAGCCACAGAATGCTTGTTGCGGTAGAAAACCTTTCAACATGATTTGAAAATGCTAGCGCCGCCAGTCGTAGGCTGGAGTAGAAACTGGTTTAAACTTCAGACAGGTCGATAAGTTGCCTGACTAACAGGTAAAAGTGGTCAGCAGTTTGTGTTCCGAACTAGGTGCTCTGTGCCACCTGACCTAATAACACATGTTCCTCAATGGCAAATCAAAATGCTTGGACAAGAATGCATCCCGTGTCGATTAGCCGAAACAATGGGATAGCAAACTGGCAGCGAAGTGCCTGCATTGGATGCACTGCAATTTACTTCGTGTTGAATCAAGAATATACTGGATCACTGCTGTCCATGAAGCACGATCGACCGCAAGGTCTGAGCACGACGTTATCCCGTTCCCGTTCCAGGTACTTGACTTCTGTGTGGTCTAAACCGGAATACAGCTCATACGCCTCAGCACCAGTTTGTTGAGTAGTTCCTTCCTCAGAAACATCTGACAACTCAGGCTGTTTTTTAGAGGTTACGAGTTTATTTCGATCTCTGTCTAAATATTTACCATCCCACCATTTTACGTTTCTAGATCGACCTTCCCGATGGTCGGTCCGCTGCGGAAAATGCTATGCGGTCTCTGGAGCGATTCTCTTCCAGCGAGGCCCGTGCAGAAAGTGGTCTACCCACGGAGCTGCTTCCGAAGCACGTGCCTTCGTTTGAGAACATACACATGATATCTGCATTCACCGGAGCCAACGTTGATGGTAATTCTACCACTTATTTCCTGCGCATTTCCCCAAATCCGGCCAGTTCTTATCGGTACCCATGGTGCAGCAATTTGAGAGACTTAGCGAGATGCGCTCATTTGCATACTAATTTGTTTTTTTTTCACGAGAGGCCCAACTGAATCCCAGCTGGATCTCTCCTTTACGATGTGCTGCACCAGGCCGTCTCGTGTCTCATTTGATACGATACGCCACTATCGCAGTACGGTGTATAGGCGCAAGGTTGCTGAAAACTCTTCAACAGCCCAAGACCGACTTCGCTTTTCTTCGAGCTCATCAGGTAGGCGCAGTCCCCCATGTTCCCTCAACCTTACATTTCATTTGAACCCGAACTGCATGAAATTCGACGAATACACTCATTAAGTAGGCTCTTCCGCGAAAGCCAAATTGGTATGCGGATGAGTGTATCTGGCTAATTTCGTGCATTTTAGGTTCAAATAAAGCATATGGTTTAGCAAAACACGGGGAATCCGTTTACCTGATGAATTCTGAGAGGGGAGAAACCGGTCGTGGGCTGTCGAAGAGTTTTCAGCCACCTCATGAGTAGTGTTTTGCATCTAGTGTGAACAATTTTTTCCTGAGTTGTTCCCAGTTCATAGTCTCCTAAAAGGTCTGATGATGTAAATTAGGCAATGCCTCATCAGATCCAACCTTCGGCGTCCTTGTCTAAGCCAAACTCAACAGTTTGTCACCTAAGATCTGAGAAGCCTCATCAAGCCATTTCTGATAGGAAACCGCAATATGGTTGTTTACTCAATACACCACGAATTGTGGGACAGCACTTACTCCTAGCATTCTTACGTAATTTTATTCATCATTCCGAACCGCAGGCGAAAAACAATCAGAATTAACGAATGAAACTTGTCAGTCTAAGGTGGCCGGGATACGAAATGCGCGTACCCTACCGCCGAAAAAAGCGTTGTTTTCCATGTCGAATCCATGATGGCGAAGGATTTTGAGGACAGACCAGGAAGTGGTTGCGCGGGATGAAGTCCGTCACAGCCCAACATTGTTCTGTGGAACTTTTGCGTTCTCCTAACTGAGGTACAAGTGGTTCTCCTTGCATTTTGGTTTGAAATCCAGCAGACAATTGCACCTAACCGACCCAAATGACGTTCATGCTTCTAAAAACATTGGTCTAGCTAGAGTTTGTCTGTCGTCTTTTGCTGGGCCCTCGTCGAGGCAGGTTCGTTGGGTAAACCCCACTGATGCGGTGCTAAACTGTGTTTACCCGATCCCTTCCCAAAACTCTGGGCACCCTGCCTTTGATCGCTTTCCTTAAGCACCGGGGCTTTTTCGCTGGCTCTGCACCTTTTTGGTAGTGCATTCTTCATGGTTGTATGGCAGTGGTGGGTTTCTGGTGTAATGCTGTTTATAAGGAGTTCTCTCACCAGATTGTCAGCAAACTACTTATACATCAACTCTGTACAGTAGCTCAACGGACTTGGTTCACGGTTTGATGTGTTCATTCATCTAAGGCATGACGATTGCGGTCGAAATATTTTGGACAAGTGCAAACACCTACACCTCTACGTCATCCTGTTGGCTCATGATGTCGATCTGAAAACCTCGAACTTCCGTTATCAGCGCCTGTTTCCTGTGGCATATCCGCCGCACTGTCAGGGGTGGAGGATGCGGTCTATAGATGAAGATCAAGCACTCAGATATCAAGAAAAATTAATATAGTCGACTAGCCGCAACACCCTTTTGGTGCCTAGTTATTATGCCATCCCATGGAGGCATGAACGCTGAGATAATGCCAGGTTGCCCAATTCTAGACAAGTGCATTCGAGATGCGGGGGTTCGTTTGAATCGCGGACCTTCCTTTGAGTAAGCTAGCGCCTATCTCGAGCTCAGGTACCTAAAATACATTGTCCGTGATGACCCTTGTTCTGCCAGTGCAGGTCGGATGTCTGCGTATGATATGATGGTAGTTTTTTGGATAAGTAATCTTTGGATTTCGCTGTTTACAGCCAACCTTGGTCGGAATGCACAGAAACCTCGCACATCCGACATCACTGCTAGTGTGTTCCTCCATCCAATTTCAACGGTGCAGTGAGAAACTGCATTCTTGTTCTGCTCATAGCTCGGAATTTGACAGGTGACGGTGTTTAACGCAGAAAGTCTAGAAGGAATCCATAGATCGGTAACCTTGTTTGCTTCAGACAGCGGTTAAAATGCTAACTTACTGGTCGGAAAGTCCGTGGTTCGAACACAACCCCGACCTCTCGACTGCTCGTGTACTGGCTTGGGTAACCTGACGGTATCTGAGCTCTCGTGCTTCCTTCGGGTGGCACAGCAGCCAGGTAAAAAGTGGATGTTACAGCTGTATGAATAATTTATAAAATATGCACGAAGATGTTAGTTCAACTTCAATGGCAGGACGTTGGGAATGTCACTGAAAAATCGAATCCGGCCACAGGATTAAGAGTACAACTTCTTGGTGAACTTTATTGTTTGACAACCTAACCTCATTCAAAGAGAGTTTTTCCACATTACCAACCGAGGAATGAATAATCACGGTTTATGACTTTTCATCGGGGAAGTTGATATCTGCAAGTCTCCCCTTGCAAACAGCGAGGTTTTCTCTTATTCAAAGGTTTCGCTATGTCAACGCGTTTCCTCAAGAAGACAGAGGTTTTTGCAGCTGCCACTTTTCTTAACTCTTTGGTGTGGAACCATGTTATGTGAACGTAAAGGCAATCTGCTCTTTATTTGGTTCGTAAATTTTGCCCTACCGGTCGTGATCGGCTTATCGCTTTGAGTGAACCATATAATACTTGATTTACGGCAAAGTTCTCATGGAGAGAGATTAGTATCAGTAAGACTTCACGTTTCACCCCCTTCCCCCATAAAGGCATGATCGGCAGAAGGGACCGAACACATTGCTGGCGCAGAACAAGTGGGGAACCAGCGCTGGTCCGAATTTTGAAAGTCCTTCGAAGCGGCAGCGCAATTTCTAGCGGGACAGTGTAGGAAGTTTTGAATCTGGTTTGTGAACGACGTGTACAAACTACTTAAGTCGAAGCTGTTGGATCAAGTTAGGATGGCTTAGAGTACTGTGAAAACGTTGTCCGACAACTCTCATAATAGCTTGCTCCCTGTATTGCCTGTGAGCACTAGTGTTTAGTTGCTTCGAGTCTGCGATGGTCGTCAGCCGTGAGAGGTCAATTCTCATGAAATTGTGTCAAAACAAGTCGGCATTGTTTAGGCTAGGCTTCTTCCGAACGTCGACTCCAGATTGTATTAAACTGCTCGAAATTCTGGCGTTGTTGATGGGAATACCTGTTTGTTTGAACTTCCTTGCTTATGGTGATGTCTTTTTCAGCATTAGTTTCGTGTTCTACCAACGCGTCTAGTATCAGCTGCTGCCAAGAATGGATTGGATTTCTGCCTATTCCTTGCGCAGAACAATTTCGTCAGCCTTGTCGGAGTCCGTAGCGCACATCGTAAGATGTGTTTGTATCCTTAGAAAGTCACTGACTATATGCGGCATTGTCGAGTTGACTTGGGGGTTGAAAACGCAGGTGGAAATTCGTGTCAATGGAGTGCTTGCGGTCCTCCAAAACAGAGCGTAGTGTGGATATCGCGCGCTGGTTTAGCCTCCACAACGTAATCAGGCGTGGACACTAAATAGTACTTTCAGATCCTCATAGTCTGGTGACGGCGAATCACGCCAGTGTCCCGTCGGCATGATCTTATAACTGTTCATCAAAACGATCGTTTTCTTTACCGGTCACGCCAGTGTTCGGCATGATCTTATAACTGTTCATCAAAACGATCGTTTTCTTTACCGGTCAACATCAGGGGCGAGATGGCCCAAGTGGTTGGTTTGCGAATTTACTGACCGTGGTTCGTACCCGACCTCTGCCTCTCGGCTTCCCCAGCCTAGGTTTGGGCAACCTGGCAGTATCCCAGCCCTCGTGCAACCTTCGGGTGGCATGGCAGTTAGGCACCGAAAAGGTGCTACAGCTGGACGGTTTTCAACATCAGGGCTCGTGTAATTGCTTTACGTTGTTTTTACTAGAGTCACCTAATATGCTTTTTCTCTGCTTCCTTTCGTCTAGATTT